GAAAGTGAGGCTTCTGTTTAGATAGGGTAACCTCTAAGAAGCTGTAAATGATTTTAGTGTCTTTGTTATCTTCTTTTGCTGCATAACTCTTGGCAATTTATCAACAAGATTCACTAGGTCCATGGTGTGCACAGAATCCCAATTTATTTGGTACAATTTGACCACCTTGGCCAATTGCTCATCCAATCTGTTAAAGAAGGCTGAGTTTAATAAAGAATCATTCTCGGGCGGATTGCTCAAGGTCAAGAGTTCGAAACCAGCCTGAGCAAGAGCGAGACCCCGTCTCTACTATAAATAGAAAGAAATTAATTGGCCAACTGATATATATATAAAAAATTAGCCGGGCATGGTGGCGCATGCCTGTAGTCCCAGCTACCCGGGAGGCTGAGGCAGAAGGATCACTCGAGCCCAGGAGTTTGAGGTTGCTGTGAGCTAGGCTGACGCCATGGCACTCACTCTAGCCTGGGCAACAAAGTGAGACTCTGTCTCAAAAAAATAAATAAATAAATAATCATTCTGATGATTCCTCAGACTCTCTTCATTCACTCGGATTGTTTGAAAACCTTTCCAAATCTTTCAAAATAGTCTAGCACAGTCTCTTTTGGTGTCTGTTTACAATGATGCAGGACTTTCGATCAATTGGTGGTCTTAGGAAATATCTGGGGTATTACTTGTACTAAATGATTTGCTAATTCCTGAGCCTTCCCTCAGCCCTCAGCTGTTGCTCATGAAAATCGCTTAGCCACTCTTTCCACTCAACCTTCAGTATCCATTCCTTTGCTTTTCTTTCAGATACTAACATGTGAATCCACTGATACAGATCTGAGTGACCAGGTTCATATTTTTTTTTTTTTTTGAGACAGACTCTCACTTTGTTGCCCAGGCTAGAGTGAGTGGCATCAGCCTAGCTCACAGCAACCTCCAACTCCTGGGCTCAAGCAATCCTGCTGCCTCAGCCTCCTGAGTACCTGGGACTACAGGCATGCGCCACCATGCCCGGCTAATTTTTTCTTATATATATTAGTTGACCAATTAATTTCTTTTTATTTATAGTAGAGACAGGGGTCTCGCTCTTGCTCAAGCTGGTTTTGAACTCCTGACCTCGAGCAATCCGCCCACCTCGGCCTCCCAGAGTGCTAGGATTACAGGCGTGAGCCACCACGCCCAGCCCATAAATTCTTATAGTTAGACTCAACTCCTTAGCAAAACCTTACCCAGAATCCTGGGTAAGATCTGGAAATTCTTTAATAAGAGCTCTGAGTTTAGTCCAGGGGGCATAGGCTACTGAAGATGCTCTCCTTGGATTAGGTTTCTCCCTAAAGACGCTGCTAAAACTTCTATGGGTGGTGAAGGGAGTGAAAGGTCTGGGCAAGGCAGTTTTGAGAGCACAGAATAAGCAGGTTCAAGAGGAGAAATAGGGGCAGGAGGGGTAGGGAGACAATGTGAGGCAGTGGAGACCTGGGATGATTTTTCCAGTCGAGAAGATTTTGAAGATCTTGCGGTTCACCTCTGTAATTCTTGAGCTGGTTCTTTCCAGTTGTACACATAAACAAACCAATTTGGGGATCCTGAATGAGCCCCATTTGGGCCAAGTTAATTTCATTTTTTTGTGACGTTAGTTCAATGAGTCAAAAATTCACAAGATAAGGCATCATAATTTTTAGCCATAAATCCAGCCAGTGTCTCGGGAGGCAGTCTTCCTTTAATAGTTTCAATTTTAGACATCTTATTTCTCATCTTTCCCTTTCTTGCCTCCTTTGCCTACCAAGCTAAGGACATGTTTGAGGTTGAAGGTGTGCCATTTATGAGCCTCCATCCTCAGGCTCTCGCCCCCAAGTTGATCAGCCCCAAGGTGTTGTGGAAAGCTCACCTCCCAGATGCTCCAAACGCCAAGCAATCAACACTTTAGGTGAGTTCACTGGAGGAGCGTAGTATTTTAAATGTTCTTCTGCTATGATGGAGTCCTATAAGGTCGCTGCGCATCAAGAGGGAGCCCCTCAAACATCTCCACAAGATTCTTAGAGGTATTCTAAGAATACCTAAGCTTTGGGTTGAAGGGAGCAAGTGTCCTTTATATATGGAGAAATTTTATATCAAATGCTCTCATCCAGTGTGTGAGCGGTTGGTGCAGACAAGAGATTTGAAAAGGGAACATTCAGCTGATCAAAGAAACTACCACTTTAACTGCAGCAATGCTTGGTCGACCTTACTTCTTTCCTTTCTTCCAAGCAATTTAGAATAATGCAATAACAACCCTAGGAAAAATCTAGCAAACCTAGGATTTACTGCTCCTCTAAATGGCCCTAAAAACATCTCAGAATAAAGTAAATCTAGACCTCTACCACAAAGGGGGAGGGCCAGATTCTAGGCACTCACCACGAACACTTTTACCTTCCCATCCCCACTCCCCCTTCCTATATGCCAGGAGTCAGTTGGAACACAATGGGACTGGTGCTAGTACCAAGAACCTGGTCTGACAGGATGAGGCCTTGGTGTCCGTGGATCCTTGCTGGAATCCTGCTAAACAGGGCATCTGTTGATGAAAAGGTTAAATAACAGACACTGTCACTTGAAGAAATTTATTTAATTTAGAGACAGGGTCTTACTCTCTTGCCCAGGCTGAAGTGCAGTGGCGCCATCATAGCTCACTGCAACGTCAGCACAAGAGATCTCCCTGCTTCAGCCTCTTGAGTAGCTGGGACTACAGGCACGCAACATCATGCCTGGCTCATTTTTTCTATTTTTTATAGAGACAGGGTCTCGCTTACTCAGGCTGGTCTTGAACTCCTGGCCTCAACTAATCCTCCTGCCTTGGCCTCCCAAAGTGTTAGGATTACTGGTGTGAGCCACCACACCTGGCCAAATTTACTGTATATCATGTTTCCCCCCCACACACAAATTAGACATTTTTATTGTTTTATACTATCAGTATTTATTTAGATTTACTCAAGTGCTTATCATTTACTTTACTCATCATTACTTCCTACATCTCAGACTTTCTGGTATAATTTTCCTCCTTGAAGAATATCTTTTAGAAGTTCCTTTAGGGAAGCAATTTTGGTGGTAAAGTCTATTTTTATTCATGTGAAAATGCCTTTATTTCACCCTCATTCTTAGATAATCTACATATAATATTCTGTATCAAAAAATTTTAATAATAGTTAAAAACTGAAAACTATATGTTCAAAGCAAGTGATATGGTAAGCAGTATCTTAATTTTGTATAGCATTTATTAAATGTTATGTCTGAGCTATCTTCCACATGCATTTTCTCTAGATTCTCACAATGACCCTAAGAAAGGTACTTTATGATCTTCATTTTGTTTTGTTTTGGGCAGGTAAATAGAATAAATGAGATCAACATTCTACGATTGGTAATCACTCTTTTTCATTATTCTTTTGGTTCTATCCAGCATCCTTGGCACCTGCTATCTATGTGACTTACAATGCACCATTTTGATTCCTCTCTCTTTAAGGCTGATTCTTTTTACAAGCGTGAAAATTTCTATAGTGTTCACAAAGTCCCATTAGTATAACTTTGAGTTTAAAAGAATTTTTTATTAACCAGTATTCTTAATTCCTTCCAACATGTCAGATAACAAATCTTTTTAAGATAACTAAGTCTTTGGTCTGACACATTAATATATAATTGATAATTTAAGTTAATAGGAAAGTTCATTATTTTTTAATCATGCTCCAAAGGAATAAGTTATAAATCTATGAATAACAGTCCATTAAATTAACACTTCATTTATACAAAGGAGAAATGGAAAATCCTATCATAGTCGAGGGTAGAATTCCACTAAGCTGCTAAGTTTTTCATATACATTTGTCCCCCACACACACTTCACGGGACTAGAGTTTGAGAGGGAAGGTAACTAACATTCATATCTTAAGAGCTGAAAGGAGTAATACTCTAGTTGGAGAGAAAGAGTCTCAATTCTACTAATCACACACAATGATGGGGGGGGTAAGTATATTCCCCCAACTTACAAATATTACTTATGTTTAACAATTACTGCATGTAATGTTAATACAAATACACACAAATAAAAATTAGAAAAGGATAACTTAAAATGTTTAAACGTGTATTTATGGCAAAGCTATTATTTAGTGAGAGCATGTGGGTGTGAACAGAAATGTGATCCAACATAACTAGATTGCCATTAGAATGCCATTGTTTTTAATTTCTTAGTGGGGCTGAAGGGCAAATACTGTAGGAGTGCTGTTAGTTTGGTGGTTTTTATTGTCTGTTTACAGTTCAATTCCTCCTTACCCCTCAATAAAAGTAGTCCCTAAACAAGGATTTCTTGCTAATGAGGGAGACAATCCCAGGAGGCCCCATGACAGAGTGGGAAGTGAGAGATGGAATGGAGGAAGGCACTAAACCATGTGCTAATGAATGGATTATTGCTCTAAGCAATTGGGACTCTATCCTACCTACTGAGGTACTCTGAGAAATACCTTAGTATCCTCACTGAGGGCTAAGGAAACCAGGGTATTTATATACCAAATCCTACGCCTCATCGGTTAGGGAGTGCCCTGCCATGCAGGCCAGCAGGCTCTGGCATCCAGAACACATCCTCAGAAGTCCTGGATTTCTGGAAACTGTAGGTGAACCAGAGTAGGCCTAGGGCACAGACGGCATCTGCTATGTCTGCATTATGAAGAATATTATCTTCAATCTTGGTTTCTTTTAAAATCTTTATGTATTCTATTTTATTTTTTGAGACAGAGGCTCACTCTGTTGTTCAGACTAGAATGCTATGGCGTCAGCCTAGCTCACAGCAACCTCAAACTTCTGGGCTCAAGCGATCCTTCTGCCTGAGCTTCCCAAGTAGCTGGGACTACAGGCGTGCGCCACCAAGCCCGGCTAATTTTTTCTATATATTTTTAGATGTCCAGCTCATTTCTTTCTATTTTTAGTAGAGATGGGGTCTCACTCTTGCTCAGGCTGGTCTCGAACTCCTGAGCTCAAAGGATCCACCCGACTCTGCCTCTCAGAGTGCTAGGGATTACAGGCGTGAGCCACCAAGCCCAGCCAGTTTTAAACCTTTAAAAAGGACCTTTGTTACATAAGTGAATTTATAGTTAAATAGTTCTAACTGAATAGGTAACATATAAACAAACAAAAACACAAGAATACTACTGTAAATCCCTTCTACTTTTCCCACAAAATAATTCAGATAACATGCATGACATGACATTCTAACATACAGATTGAAGGAGACTGCTGGGGTTAATCTGAATATCAAATATTAATATAATTTAATCTTTTCCTGGATTAAATTGTATAAATATTATGGATCTCCTAAAATGGCCTTCCTCCACCACAGTCCATTACCCTGTATCCCCATGAACTACATGCTCCCCATTCTCACTACCACTGCCCAGGTCTCAGTTGGAAATGATTCAGTTCATGTCAAGGTATGTCTGATAGGTAAGAAAATAGTAGTAACATACAGTCCTAAGAGTTTCAGCATTTGTCTAGCACTGAATGAGGAGGAGAGGAATATTTCAAAACATTTCAAAACTTCACAGAGTTCTTTGTGAATATCTTATTTCCCTGTGTTTTAAAAATTATACAGAAACCCAACCATAATGCAACTTCATCTTCAAATTCAGTGTAATTCAGATCAAAATGCTCTGGCATTCCATAGTTTTTGGTGTGAAAGACAGATGAGTAGGTATATCCTTGTTTTCATCCTATGGGATATAGAAGAAACAGCTCTACGGAAACATTTTACAAAATCCCAGAAGTTACATAAGAGATTAGAAATGCACTTAAACTTTCTTAAACAAATACTTAACTGAATTCCAAAAATGTGACACAAAGTTATAAAAGTTCATTTTATTTAGGCTGAAATATGTATATATTATTTAGTTTTTAAAAAGCTTAATACAAAGTTTAATTGTTAATATCACTTTGATTCATCTTCAACAGCCTAGAAACAGAATAGTCTGAAGTTTTATTGTGCTAGTTTAAGAAATCCATTTTGTATAGAAATACTGTTATGTTAATTCCCCTAGAGTTTAAAACTTTACAATCAAATCACTTTAGCTTAAAGAAAACTTTTTAAGACTTGAATAATATCCTGCAAAGGTATATTTTATGATATATATCAATAAAATTCAACCCCACTTTCTCCAATAATAAAAAAATGTTTTTTTGAACTGTTACTTTTTAAACGACGTGAAACTAATGAAAATTGGTTGCTGCTTTTAGAATCATCTTGTTTGGAGAAAAATATTCTGTGCTTTACCACTTGCTGCCATGCCTTACAGAGATAGGGTCTGTAGTCTACATCCACATCACATGGGCGTTTATAGGCAGAAGGCCCTTCTACTGAGTCTGAGGTTTTTTGCATTATAGTTTGTGTTGTTGCAGCAAGAACCAAGCGATACTCATTTACAAGTTTCTCTAAGAACTGAGAACATTTCTTCAGAGTAGACTCCTGTAAGTTAACACTCTCTCCTCCGTTGATACGGTCTATCCAGTAAAAAGCTGACAGGCTATCCAAAATCAAAAGGCAGAGACAGGGATGACTACAAAACAAGGTTTCTAGTGAATAAAGTGTAAGAAGTAAGTGGGTGCTACTATTGCAATATACCAAAAAAAATCTTCCAAGGCAGTATTTTATTATTTCTTCAGAGCTTTGGGATAGTCTATGCTCAAGAATTGTAACAAGCCGAAGCATATCAAAATGGTAATCTGTATCAATAAACAAGACTTCTACTTCCAGTCCACCTTCCGATTTCGGAAGTATACATCTTGCTGTTAAATGATAAAGCATTTCTGTTTTTCCTGTTCCTTCTGGACCATGAAATTCAAGAATATAACCTGTATGAGATTTAAAAATGTCAGTCAAAATGCAGCAACTCAATAGTAAGGCTACAAACTGAAAAGTCTGCAACAAAGTTTAAAAAACATTTACTAGAATGTGAAAGAAAATCTATATCCATTAGTCAAAGTGTACCTGTATAAGCAAACAGAAATAAATAAGGAAATTAAAAGTGAATCATTATATTTCACCTCTGAGAAAGGAGCTGGCAATTAATTAACATCAAGAAAAATTTAAAAACAGAGTGATAGGGTTGAGAAGAGCCCAGAGGAATACCCTCGGGATGGCTCCATGCACACTCTCACTTAAACAGGTGATATTAGAGAGTTAAGAATAAGTATCACAGATCCAGGGCCTTTCAAAGATCTACTGGTTACTGTGGCACATACCATTTCTGGGGGTTGATTTATACCATATCCATTCTGCCCCTTTTGATAAAGTACAAAACCATAATTTGAGGGAGACAGCAATGTGTCCACCTTAAAAACTATTCTTCTTAATCTCCCTTACAAAGAGAGGTTACTTGGTAACAAACACTGTTGTACCCAATGAGAGGCAAGGTGATGTCTGGTAGGGATCACTAGGTTTTGATTTCCTACGTAAGGGCCACTTCTGCTTTCTTGCTCCCTTTTCTGGAGGTGAAGCAGTCATCTAGAAACAGTGATGATGAAAGGTGCCTTCGGGTGGTGAGGCAGGAAGACAGAAGGTGCCCAGGTCTTGGATAACAATATGGAACCCCACACTGGTCATGTGCACAGCCTGCCTCTTATATCACCTAGGATGTGAGGACAATAACCCTCTACCGCGGTAAACCACTAAGTTGGACTTCTAGGCTCTCAGGCCCTAAATGTCAACAGCATCCCTCAGCTGAGAACACCCTTACACTTTCCCCAACTACCTTCAGTTATTCTTTGCTATTTGAATATCTCTTGAAACTGTGTCCAGATGCACTATAAATTAATTTCCTAGCATTAAAAATCAAAGTCAACTACTCTGAACTGCCCTCCCCCTCAATGGGCTTGCTTGATTGGAACAAACCAACTTTAAAGATTTTGAACTTAAAAGGTTCCAAATCTTTTTCTTTATAAGTTCCAGCAACGCTCTTTAATTGAGGACAGCACAAGTTAAATAATACAACACCTGAGAAAAATCATCCTACTTCCAGAGCTTTTCAAAATCTATTCTAAACAGTGATGTTCCAATTCTTACTAGTTTGTTATTACTAATTTATGGCTGAAGCACTTGACTGGAATCACCATATTATAAATGTAGATTCTTAGACCCCCAACCAAATTACAGCCTAGCAATTCAGTTACTTTATTTCCTATTATTACTAACAAACCATTGTATATCGGAGCATTCACAAAAAATGTATAAGAAATCTAGCAAGTTGCCACCATATCATAAGGTAGTATATACAACTTCAGCCAATTTCTACCATATTCTTACAAGTTGCAATTTTCTATTTAAGAATTAAAAAAAATGATTCCAGCCTCAAGGAGTAAAACTATTTTCATATTAACAACTCTTCATCAATACTTATATTAAAAGTTAACACAGGCCGGGGCGGTGGCTCACGCCTGTAATCCTAGCACTCTGGGAGGCCAAGGCAGGCGGGCAGATTGTTCAAGGTCAGAAGTTCGAAACCAGCCTGAGCAAGAGCGAGACCCCGTCTCTACTAAAATTAGAAAGAAATTAATTGTCCAACTAAAAATATAAATAAAAAATTAGCTGGGCATGGTGGCGGATGCCTGTAGTCCCAGCTACTTGGGAGGCTGAAGCAGGAGGATTGCTCGAGCCCAGGAGTTTGAGGTTGCTGTGAACTAGGCTGACGCCACGGCACTCTAGCCTGGGGAACAGAGTGAGACTCTGTCTCAAAAAAAAAAAAAAGTTAACACAGTAACTAAACCTATATATATTCAACCCAGATGTTCAGTTTACCCTCTCCTATTATATTACTGAGGAACTAAGCTAAAACCTCTCCCCCTCAATATTAATTCTTTTACTGCCCTAAGTTATAGAAACAGAATAAACTACATGCACTAGATGAAAAAAACTTAATATAGAACCAGTATTAATGGTGGTAAAGGAACGTTAAAACAGTTTAGAAAGATTAAGTCTGTAGGACACAATGCACCAGGCAGAAACACAAGATGGGGAAACCAATAAGCAGACTGTACAAAATCCTCCCTCTCTTCTCTGCAGCAACTAACCTGAATAAAGTGCTTTATACCTGAAAAAGGCTTCTTCATATAAATCTTATTTGATCCTAATAACACTCTGAGGTAGGAAAAGGAAAGTCTATTATCCCCCACCATCACATTTATCATGCTAACTAATCATTGGCTAGTTACTTGATTATATTTCCTGTTAGCTTCTTTAAGGTTGGGACTTGACTATTCTCTCCTCAGCACACAGTATCTTTTGAATGTACCTCTTCACATTACTTTTTTTTTTTTTTTGGAGACAGAATTTTGCTCTGTTGCCCGGGCTAGAGTGCCGTGGTGTCAGCCTAGCTCACAGCAACCTCCAACTCCTGGGCTCAAGCAATCCTTCTGCCTCAGCCTCCCGAGTAGCTGGGACTACAGGCATGCACCATCATGCCGGGTTAATTTTTTCTATATATATATATTTAGTTGTCCAGCTCATTTCTTTCTATTTTTGGTAGACGCGGGGTCTCGCTCTCGCTCAGGCTGGTCTCAAACTCCTGACCTTGAGCAATCCACCCGCCTCAGCCTCCCAGAGTGCTAGGATTACAGCCACCACGGGCAGCCCAGATTACTTCTTCAGATCCTCTTGAAAGCCATCTTTAGAATGAAAATGTAAGTCTTGAATGGTGAGGGTTAAAAGCCTACAATTACTTTTGGAACATGCCATTTTGAAAGGGAGCAGATGTAGGGAATAATAGGTGTGTGTGGGGTTGGGAGTAGCAGGAGATGGTGGCTTTTGGTTGTGGAGTCCAGCAGGTATGAAGGCCCTAGACCTAGGTGTGGCATAGGGACCAACACAGGAGGTGAAGCAAAAATAGGATTGAACTGTCCAGTGCTGTGTGCGCCTGCCTCCAGAGACTAAGAGGTGCTTAGTTTTGCCAGGTCTTCAGTACTGAAGAATAAACCTAATGTAGTGATTTATAAGTTCTCAGAAGTAGGCTTGGAAGTACCTGTACAAATCAAATACATACACAAAGTAGAAATTTTTATTTCACACAGTACATGAGCATCCTGATAAGAATTTAGCTTTCAAAATCGTATGTTTTGATTATCTCTAAGTGTCACAAAATAAAAACATCCTACAACCACTAGGATGTAAGATTCAAGAGAATAATAAGGGGCTGGATATAGCAAGCTGGGAGTAATCTACACAGAAATAATAGAGAACAGAAAACTCTCTTTGATGGATGGGTATGGATCTAAAATTAAGAATAAAAGGCCAAAACACAATTGTTGGGATACATCCACAGTTAGAAGAGTCAGCAGAAGACAGATAAAACAGAAATTTAATAGGAAAATAAAGAGGAAAAACATCACAGGGCACAAAAGAAGCTTTTAAGAAAATGAAACTACAAAATAATAATAAATGTAGCAAAAAAGTCAAAAAATGAAAGAATGGCAGGGAAAGGTAGGGAAAAGATCCCAAAAATGGCCCAAAATAGTGACCTTAGAGCAGCAAATGTGTATTTGGCAAAGCACATTTAACATATTTGTGAGTCAAACTTCAAAAACTGAAATTCTTGGAAGATAAAGTAAAAAGGCATTATACGGGAAAGTCACCACTTTTAAAGGTAAAGCAAAGATGGAAATCAGACTGCAGGAAGTTAGGGAATACATGAGCAACTGGAAAATAGAGAAACCAGCCTGATCAAGAGCGAGACCCCGTCTCTACTAACAATAGAAAGAAATTAATTGGCCAACTAATGTATATATATATAAAATTAGCCGGGCATGGTGGTGCATGCCTGTAGTCCCAGCTACTCGGGAGGCTGAGGCAGGAGGATCGCTTGAGCCCAAGAGTTTGACGTTGCTGTGAGCTAGGCTGACGACACGGCACTCACTCTAGCCTGGGAAACAAAGTGAGACTCTGTCTTAAAAAAAAAAAAAGAAGGTAAAATATTCAGCAGTTTCATGGGACCAGAGGGTCAAATGATAATTTAAGGTAAAGAAATAAATTCTGTGGTGTAAAGGAAGGGACTCCATTAGGAAAGAGAATACATGATACTGGTCAGAAAGTAACTGTGAGATATCTCTGGGTAATTCTGGAATTCCCAGAATAAGAAAATAATGAAAACTCTGCTAAGTATTTTCTTGGTGAGCATAACCATCTTTCAGCATAACTCAAAAGACTATGTACTCAAAAGCATTTACCTATATGATTTAACAAGGTTTTCTAAATCCACACATTAAGAAAGAAATCCACATATTAACTGAGGTATGTGTCCTTAGATGCTTGGTTTGGCACAAATGAAACTGAAGCAAAGTATGACAGTTCACGGTAGATAACACTCTTTCCTTTTATAAATTAATAGCAAAGTAGGTATAAAAGCCATTTAAGTTAGCCAGGTATGGTGGTACAGCTCCTATAATCCTAGCTCAGGAGGCTGAGGGGGGAGGATCGCTAGAGCCCAGGAAATGGAGGCTGCAATGAGCTATGACTGCACCACTGCATTCCAGCCTGGGCCACAGAGTGAGATCCTGTCTCTACTAAAATATATATATATATATTAAAATTAATAAATAAAATAGTTTATAACAACCAGGGAAGTAAAATCTGCAAACTTGCAAGTTACACATGAATATCAGCATTAAGATCTTTGAACTAAATTCCCTACAAATATGTTTAATGATGAACTAAAACCAGTTTTACTGATTTTATAAACATTTACTGTTTAATCATTATCATCAAAAATCACAATCATATATGTTATCTGGAGGGGACATAGTCCTTTTCACATTTTTCTTATATGTCCCTGTGAGCTGTTAAAAAAAATAGCACCCTTGTCCAG